GCTTTTTCAAATACCCCTCTGTTTCCTTCACGTTTCATTTCCTTAGAAAAAAAAACTTCCTGTCATGACATGCAATCTCAGTCCATCAATTTACAGAAAAACCCCTTATCAAAACAGTGCACAGTGCAATTCAAAGTTAAAGGAAACGGTTTATTGTAAAAAGATAACTAAATGTTTTTTTTTGTTTTTGTTTTTTTTTGCCATTTATTGCCTTGTATTCACGTTAAGGCTTTATAAAAACATTTTTTGAGCCTTTATTTACACCTCATCATTACTTCCTCTCATGAGAATAGCAGGCTATGTATCACTTTAGCCTACAACCGGTTCTTATTACCATATTTTATAGAAACCATTGTTCCAAATCATAAAACAGGATTAAAAAATATAAAAAATATAAGTGATCTTAAAGTGATCTTGCTTCTTGTTTCAAGCCACCCTCAAAACAAATGTTGGTCAATGAAGTTAAGGCAAAATGCAAAATGCAATCACATAAATACAATGACAGACAAACTGGCAATGTTATATCATATTTACTATTTGCACTCTAATTCAGTTTTGAAGTACAAGCCCTATTAACAGCAATTCACATCTTTAAACATTTTCTGTGCTTCATATTTTGGGATGAATCTGTTGCAAAGCTAACTTCCCTTTGTAAGTCCAGAAGTGAATGTGTGACTTAAAATAGCACACTGATAATGTGAGACCTTCAGAAATGTACAGGATACACACAACGACCATGACGTTCTGAATTAGTTGGGTTTGGAGTCGAAAATCAATTCCAGAATACGTATGATAAGGAATCGTATAGAAAATTTACATTTTGATTCCGTTTATAGATTCCCGAGTGTGTATTTTAATGTGATTTCAAACCATTTTCAAGCACAAGAAGACGTGAAAGAGGACTCCTTTTGGTACTCGCGCTGTGCGCGGTTTTCTTTGTGCACACAACCAAAGCGTGAATTAAGTTCTCGTATGCATCTTCTTGCACTTGAACGCACAAATACTCATAAATTATGTCAAAATATCCCTATTATTATATTATATTAAAATATACCTAGTCGGTAAACAGTTGATATACCGAAATTTTGGCCGCCAAAATGGTTTTGGAGGGCCGAAATCAGTGACTGAAACATGGAATTAGCTTCTCCGCTCCCACGTTTTGACTGTGTGCAGCGTCTATTTCCTGCACACAACGTGGATAATCTACAACAGTTAAACATGTCCGCTGTGTATAGCTCTGGATTGACAATATAGATTTTAATCTGTAATGATATGTTTTTTTAAATCTAAAATCTTTGTCTGTGCGTTTTTCTGTCGATTCTATTATAAAAATCCAGACAATAAATGTCGTTTCCAAGCGCTCGTCTTTAATCAGAAGGTATGTTGAAAGATACATTACATTAGACAGGGTTCATTTCGGTAACTTGTAATTGCTCAATCATAGCCGCGGGAACATATTTTATCAGGGGGGTGCTTTCAGTTTTGAAACCGTACGTTTTAAGTAACTAGATAATGCAGTTTGGGGTGTGAAAGTGTGCTGTTAATGTTGTAGAACAAAACAACAAGTTATGTTTAGCAGAGGCTTTATTTTACTCGTACGTTGAAAAACCCCATTATAAAAGCCCATCAAAAAATCTCGAAGGAACCAGTGGCGAATTAGTCTCAATTCCAAGTACTTCTGGAGACTAGTCTTGCCAGGCTACCTTGAAAGAATAAACTTGGAAGGACGCAAGGACACAGAACGCATCGTTGTGAGAATTGAGACTTGCTGCGATCTTGTTGCTCAATTGACCATTCCAGCATATTTAAGTAGTGGCCAATGCACAATAAATACAACATAACATCACAAACAAATGTCATATTAAAACATTTCTTTCATATTATTATAGACATTATTTTCATAGTATCTCATATTGTTTTTACTGCGTGTATTTGTGAAAATTAAGTTTAATGTTGCTTATGCTTTGTCAATGTTAAGATTATTTTATAAACCAATTAAAAATTTTCTGGCTTTCTCCAGGTCTTTATTAAAATTAGGCAAAACAAAATGACATGAGCCATCATTCATTTACGAGCTTGCAGCGGGAATCTCTTATGCCGGGGATACATTTAACGACTTGCGGGAACATTCTAAGACTGAACTGAACACACTTACAGACTTTCCAACGACTGCAGCAGATTTGAACCACCGAATGTGAACAGACTGAACTCAACTGTCTCTGATTCGCTGCGTTAGGGCATGATCAGTCGTAAGTATCAAATTACATTCATAATCGGCCTAACAGTCATTAAGTGTGTCCCCGGCTTTAAGTAAGAACGAGAACTTTAAAGCTTAGAGGCTTCTGTACATCAGCCTACCACAGCTTCCTTTGGGATTTCTAACGGTGCGTCTCCAGCAAACGAAGCAGAGCGAGCATTTCCAGCTCATTCCTATGGAAGTTGAGCTTCACACTCGCGTGGTGCATTGTGGGATTGACAGCAGACCGGAGAAAGAGAGAGCAGCAAAAGGTTGGGCAGTTCTCAACTTTATGCAAATATCAAGGATATTTGTTGCTATGTCATTTGTCAATGATGCTACAAACACAGACGGCAGCCAATCGCTGTGATGTTCTGGTAGTGACGCCTGTTTAAACCATGTAGATTCCACATTCGATCGCTCCAGACACGTCATCTTGGAACGGTCAGCATGTCGTTACTCACTGTAAGAATCAATGATGCCAAGACATGGCACAGCTTCTGATTTAAATTCCTGAAGAAATGGGATAACCTTATGTTGGTTTCTGTTTTTAACTCAATATTACAGGATTTTACTATGGTTTTTACTATGATAACTTTTAATGTCATGTTAGGCACCTTCGTCTTGTATTACCAGTAGTTAGTTCTGCTGAAGTGCATTGCAGATATTGATATTCATATTCATGCATGCGTTTAAAGTCCCCATGAATTCAAAATTGACCATACTTACTTTGTTTGCCTAAATTGATCGTTTTGTGGTGAACAATTCATCCATGCAAGTCAATCCACACAAAAAATTTGTTTGGCTTCGTAATCTTTAATCAAAATCTGAAATTTCCCCTCCCCTCTGCGTTGGAGGACCTTGCCTGATGACGTAGGTTTCACGGTTTGGGCGTCTTCTTAACATCCGTAATCACGCCCCTCCAACTGACAGTAGACAGACTGAATGAAAACACCTACTTTTCTAGATCCAATCAGGTGCTAGTTGGGGAAAAAGCCACGCCCACCATTTTGCCTCATTTAGTATTCCGTTTCTCTCGGAAATACGTCACAACACTGGAGAAAAGTCGTTTGCAACTTCCGGTTCACGGGGACTTTAACTATGGTTGCAGACGCAGTCAACTTGTTCCAAATTGTTGACGGACCGGGTTTGACTGTTCCAATATGGTAGGCGGCTAACGTATAGCGGCCCTTATAAACAGCTGGTAATGAGGCATCTATATACATATATATATAGCTCTGGACTGGAGTTTATGCTGGATTTATATGCACATAAATCATATTGTTTACACATTGGACACTTTGCAGACCTGTTGGGGAACGTACTGTATAAAATACCTGCCATGTAAAAAACACTAAAACACTTCCTCAAATCTAACAGAAGAGCTGAACAGGAGTGAACATATACCGCACAACGCAGCGCCATGGCACGGAATGGGGAAGTGATTGAAGAAACAATAATGTAAATGGTGCACTTATGACATAAACATCTTGACAAGCGGGATAACATTCAAATAATCAGCTCTGATAAGCAGATTATGTTAAATGCAATAGAATGCCTACCAGAGGGGCAGGCAGCTTTCCGCTGGAGCTCTGTCAATATACTGTACACCAAGCGCACCATGAAGTGAATGCTGTTTGCATAAGCACATAAGAGACAGGCAGCAAAAAGAGCCCACTCAAGTCTTGCATGAAACTCCTGTTTAGGCATTAACAAACAGGTCTCTCAGCCATCTAATGGCAGCTCATTAATCTCCTGCTGCACAGACAAAACATGCAGCACAAAAGAAGGGATTTTAAGGTTATAGAATCTAGCAAAAGTATTTTGCGAAGACCATCCCGCAATGTTCTGAATAGACATACCCTTTACACAAGCCCAAGATGACGTCAAACTCCTAGTGGAGTGGCGTGGACAACTATAGGACAGTCTGCCTCTTATAGAATCATAAGCCAAGTGGATGGCTTCCACTATCTTTCCACTACTTAACTACACTTTCTTAGCACCCCCAAAGCAGATGAATAGCTGCTCCGACAAGCCAAAGGAGCAAGTTCTGTCCACATAAGCACGCAGCGCACAAATGGGGTACAGTGGGCGTTTACTTGACCCTCCTTCCGTGGCTGGGTCAGGACAGGAGAGTCAAATGCTTGAAGTGTTGTAACCTGTGCTCTAAATGGGGTTGAGAGCAATTTGGGTGTATACCCTCACCTAGGGGTAAGCTTCACCATACAGCCGTCCGTCCCAAACTCCATATTAGCACTGTTAACTGAGAGAGCTTGACTAAATGTTTTTACCTGACTGGAATTGAAACTTGGAATCAAAAAGAATTGGAATCGATAAGCAATATCAGAAATCCAAATGATACCTAACCCAATGAACTAGTCATTTTAAAAAAGCAAAAAGGCCCAATTGAAGAATTACCTAAATGAGAATGCAAGGTTTAAATCAACATTTAGATTAGTTAAACATTGACATGTTCTAGAGGGCTGACATGTTATATTTACAGCAGTTTTATGGTGGCACACCTTTCTTTATTTGACGAAATAAAGAAAGGTGGTGTGACATCAAGAAAAGTGTCTGAAAAGGATGTTAAAGTTCATTCTTTACTGTTCATATATATAAATAACTATGAAAAACACTTTGATGTTGTAATCGGGGGAAAATTATGACTATGATCCACATAATCTTTAGTTAAAAATTCAAAGAGAAAACTACAGCACCTGAAATTCAAAAGAAATACACAATGTAAACAAATGGGGAACAAAGCTCCAGGATGTCACAACTTTCCTTGGAAAGAAGACGAATGATGCAGGATCCAAATAACATTCACGTTTACTGGTGAGTAACACATACAGCGTGACCACGTTCAATAACTGACAACGAATGAACAGAACGCGGAGTGTAAATACACAGAGTGAGGAGGGAGTTAAACAGGCACAGGTGGAGGAAGGTAAGCTAATCAGGGACTAACGAGAACAATACATGACTTCATGGTGACACAGGAGGGTTTCACTCTTGGTTTTGAGTGTGCTCAAAATACATGAAATCCTGTATATTAAAAAGGAGAAAAAGACTAATTAAATTACTGTGATTTATGCATTTATGTGAATATATAATATATACTATATCCAATTACAGCCTATTTTTTTATGCAGAAGTATGTTTGATTGCACCATGACTAAATGCCCATTATAACAAAAAACAACCAAATATTCATACAATTTGACCGGAAAGCTAATAATCAAAGTTTAAAAATCTGAAGAAGAGAAAAAAAGGCTTGTTATGGCTCTCAGATTTACAAAGTGTTATGGTTTGTATTAATGCAGTGTACATATTACTTACAATAAGAAAGCAGGCTCCTAATAGAACTGCTTTTATTTTCACATCCAAATCCATTGGAAATTGTAGGCCAAAGTTGTCTGCATCAGTAAATGCTTCTGCCTCAAATCCCGTCCACTGTTTGCTAATTCGACCAATCGCTGAGGACTCATCCAGTGACACCACCTGGCATCACATAAGCATGTGACTGTTAGTTTGATAAGCATCAGTGTTGCATTCACAAACATAAACACTCACTAGACATGTGTCATATTATTTTATACAATATACTGTACGCTACCCAGAGTTTGGGATCTCTTGTGCTCATAAAGACTGCATTTGTTTCTTCAAATACAGCAAAACAGTACTATTGTGGGAAACATTATTACAATTATAACAGTATTAAAATTTATGTTTTCTATTTTAATTTATAAAAATGTAATTTGCTCCTACTGCTTACTCCAGTCTTTAGTGTCACATGATCCCTTAGAAATCATTATAGTATGCTGATTTGTCAAGAAACATTTATTATTATTATCAATAATGAAAACCATTGTGCTTAATATTTCTGTTGAAACCATGACACATTTTTTTCAGGATTGTTCAATGAATGAAAAGTACAAGAACATCATTTGAAATTTCTTTTGTAATTTGTATTTTTGTGGAAACTGTGATGCTTTTTGGGGGAATTTTTGATGGCTTAAAAGTTTAAAGGAACAGAATTTATATATATAAATATATAAAAATATCTCTACTGTCACTTTTGATCAATTTATTTGAAATTGAATAAAGAGTCCTTGCTGATTAAGATTATTATTTTCTTTAAAATCTTACTGACCCCAAACATTCTAACTGTTTTATATTATTATATTATATTATATTATATTATATTATATTATATTATATTATATTATATTATATTATATTATATTATATTATATTTAGTACTGAGCAACGATTAATCGGATCCAAAACTAATAAATAAACTAAAACTAATAAATCGCATCCAGCACTAAGTAGGCTATATTTTATTGTTTTATGACATGATATGACATGATATTTGCTGTAATTTATACACCATACCTCAAAAATAACATCAGAACAACATTTGCAGTCACAGAACGGCCCCACAATCTTCAGAACGGGTTCTTTTCTCTCATTCTGAATAGTGAACTTCGGCAGGAAAGGATGCCAGCTTTGCATAACATAACCAATAGGGCTGCCCGGAGGGCTCTGAACCTCCAGCTGAAATATATAGCAGCACTGACATTAAGATAGCAACATAGATAGGTATTTTTCAATATTTAAAAATCATTGGTCCCTTTATTAGTATACCAGAATGCAAAGCACAATGCAAAACAATGTGATAATACTCATGGAACAGTATATGTGAAGTGGTAATGTTGTGTAGTATACTATACCTCTTGCAGACAGCAAGGGAAACAACAGCTACTGCAATTAAGCGGACGGGATAAAGTCATCACTTCCTGTCCCATGCTATTCTGGATATGAAGCAGGAAGGAGCGCACCGATCCACACATCATACGAGTACAGAAATCACTCTCCTCAGCAGCAAAAAACACCTGCTGCCCTAAGCTATTTTTCACCACATATTGATTTTTGGTCTCCCATCCCATGAGAACTGTGAGAGAAAGAGAGCATTTGTGTTCATGTGACAGGGGTTTATAAAAGTGTTTCTAGTGCAATCAATGGCTGAACATTACCTTCCATTAGTTCCACTTTCTGATGAACTAGAAGCTGGTCAATCTGTGATAAGAAGCATTGTAGAACTGACATGAAAATAGGCATTGAATGTATTTTCACATAGTATATTTGTAAAAAGATACAAGATACAAAACAGTTTGTATTCAGAAATGCTATTGCTTTCTTTTCTTTTTTTTAAAGAAAAGAAAAGACTGATTTATCCACCAGGGTCGTAAGGATTACTGTCACAATGGCTGTATGTGATTTTTTGGAGCTTCAACATTTGGGCACCCAATCACTTGGACTCACAGAGATTGTTTTTCTCTGTTTGACCCTACAGATTTATCAATATCTGATCAATATGCTTAATAAAATAGAAATGGGAGATGGTCACATCACATGAGTCACTTTATTGAACATTAAGTCAGTTATGAAGAAATAAAGAGCAGTAGCTATGAATTGTACCCGTCATATTCTGTGATCCCAGAATGGGCCTATGCATTTGTAAGGAAAAACTATAGGATCTCCAACAGTAATCATAGTTAATAGTAATAAGAATAAAGAGCATATGTGTATCAAACATTGAGAATATTTTATACAAAACAAAACCACCATTAACACAGTCCAGCATCAGACAACAACAGCGCAGCATAATGTTGACACCAAACGAGTGTCGACACCTGATAAGCTTCCAACGCCTCAAAACACGTAGTCTCTCAGCCTCAGACGTCAGGCCCACGTTTAATATTCCATTTAATTATTGACTTCGTATCTCTATTTTGTTTGAGATATATCATCATACGTTCAAAAAGGCGGAGGGAAGAGGAGATGCACCAAGTACCTCAGGTGTTACATCCTTTTATTCTCAGAAAACCAGACAGTTACAAAAAATATTTTTTAGTTAAATAAGATGTTAGAAATATGTTTATTCAGATTTTAATCATTTTTCTTGTGCGTGTTTTTTCTGTTTTTTTCTGTGACAGAAAATACATCGGACGTCATGCGCCAGGTGTATATTGTGCCTATTGGACCTAGATTCTGCCTTATTTTGTAAGTTTTAGTTGAAATTATGATATGATTTACAATACATTACATAAAACAGTAAATATTACATGACATCATATCTCTTACAAGTGGACACGAGAAAAGCATTTAAGACAAAAAAGTTATTGTTTAATGTTATTTTCAGTATTATTCTTCTTCATTAGTAGTACATGTCATATAATAAAAAATAAGAGTTCTCTTGGCAAAATAACTGGGGTGCTTCCGTGATTCGGGGGGAAAAGCTTATTAAACATCATATCGGCACCCAAGTAGTGTGATAGTTTCGAATCGGGAAATAGGTGTATCGTCCAAGCCCTAATAAATAACCCTCATGTTTCCATTGTATCTTGTCTAGCTTTGTCTTTGTAAGCTGCTGTTGGTGAGTTTGTTTATTTCATGTTTCAGTTCATGTTTCAAGTCAGGTCTTTGTATATGTTGTTCATGTTTTATTTTATTTTATTTAAAGCAAAATGTAGACTATAAACCAACTAAACCACGGTCACATGACTTCAAAGTCACACCACTAAGCTTCCAACCCTTTCAGTTTTTATTTTATTTTATTTTTATTTTGTCTGAACGTTTGGGTTAGAATAGTTTGAAAGTTTCTCACTTCACTGAAATCATGAGTTATGCTGTTATTCACCTGGGTCAGGTACTCCAGACCCGGAGGACAGCCCAGGGGTCTGTCTGGGACTGGTATCACCATCGGGACTTGAGGTGGTACATAACCTGCAGAAGAAAAGAAAACGCTTACAGTATGTGAACTCTATAAACACATTATTCATAAAGAAAAAAAAACTCTTAGCATTTTACCTGCTGGTGGTGTAGGATAAACTTCATTTCTTCCTGGATGAGGGCCAATGGTATATACTATGGTAGAAACAGAAAATCTCATTAACTATCAGATGTACATGTTCAGAGTCAGACATGGAGTGAAAGAGAATGAAAACATTTCCCTAGAGGTAGAAATTTGCCTGCCATGTTGATATAAGAAAATGTACCCATACTGTACTGTATTTACCCTTGTAACAAAAATTGTGCATAATTGTATCGAATGTGCACTTGCATTAAAAATGCGGGTAATAATAGCGCAGTCAGACAGTTCAATGATAGTGATGATTGTTTTGTGCAACCAGGTAGTTGCTGAGTTCGGTTGCAGATGGGAATAGTGTTTACGGAACAGCACATACCACAGGATGAGCATGGTAAGTATCAGGTGAGTATATCCACACAGGTATCACTGGAGATATTACAGGGAATATTACCTAAGGAATCTCGGAGATCGCTGGAGACATGCAAACCGAACTACTATGGTAAGTAGAGCAGACAAGGAGTCTGTAACCCTTTGCGGAGCCAGACAAGGAGTGACCGAATGTTTGTATTTATACTGGTCTGAGTGTGGTGCTGATGAGGAACGTCTCAGGCTACGACTGTAACCTTTGTTCCCTGAGAACAGGGAACGAGACACTGCGTTGATTGACGCATTGGGTAACGCCTCATGAAACTACTATCGAATCACAGCAATCCTATTGACCGGCGACAGCCCATGACATCATCAACGTGCGACCCGGAAGTATATAAGGGCGCCCTGTAAACATAACATTCACCTTCTCGTCTGAAGGGACTGTTTGCTAGGCAGGCCCCGAGGCATGGCAGAAAGACGCAGTGTCTCATTCCCTGTTCTCAGGGAGCAAAGGTTACAGGTGTAACCTGAGATGTTCCCATTCGAAGGGGAACTCGCACTGCGTCAATTGACGCATTGGGGAACGATATATCCATGCCGCCATGCTAAGGGGAGAACATGCCCTCAGGCAGTGACAACTGTCAGAACCAGCAAAATTCAAATGAAATGCCAGAACCACTCACCCTCAGGTCACACTGGGCTGTCAGTGACAGCATTCCCTACGGTCATAGCCCAAGCTATACGCTTCACAGGAAACCTCCAAAAACCTTGTTTATTGAAAAGGCCTACCTGGGCCTGCTCAAGGGCCTAGGACCACAGCTTCAAATTAGAAGGGAATGTGGCTAGGGCACCTGAAGGAGCCCCAGCCAATTACTATTCAGGGGAACATACTCACCCGAAATGCAACCAAGAAGGCCTGACCTGGCGTCACTTACATTGGACACTTCAGTCTGGCCAGCTTCCTGTCTGTCCGAAGACAGAGCCTCTGGACACTTGCCTTTAGGTAAGGCATCCAACCCGAGGGACTGCGAAGCTGAAAGTGAACCACTTGGCCCAGATCTCAGAGACGGGGTATGCCGGAGAGCATGATTCAGCATAGTGCCTCCAACCCTTGCTAGCGAGGTGAGTTTCTCTGCTCGATCCACGGATCTACCCAGGGTTTGTGTTTCAAAACACTGGGGAGGCCTGAAAGGCCTAAGGGCTGATCTAACTGGGAGGCCTCACAAGAGGCCTACGACCGCCTATGACCAGACTCAGGAGACAGAGTACTCATAGTGACTGGCCCGGATCTACCATATGGGCAATCTGGGCACGTGCCCAGGGGCCCTTGCACAGAGAGGAGCCCTCCGTGATGGAAGGTTTTTTTTTTTTTTGTGCGACATAAAATTAGTATACACAAGGCTTGGCCTCGATCTTGATAATTATCCAATCAGAATTTTAAAAAGTGTATATTACATTATATGATCCCGCTCTTATTCATGCAAATGCTTTTAAACCATTCATGTGCGACAAGACAAAAGTGTGACTGTGACAAACAAACACACAGAGAGAGAAAGACACGTGCCAGTATCGTGCGCTCAGACAGCACTCCAGAATACAGTTCTCTTTCGTGCTTGAATTTACAATAACACACACAATTAGGCCAAAATGTCCGTTTTGTCGAGTATCTTCATAACATAAGAGCAGTCTTATGTTGAACGTGAAGAGTTGTGAGAGAATGAGGCACGAGATCAGCGTCTCTGTCAGTAGTCTGGTCTTAAATAGACAGCAGCCAATAAAGCTTTCTGTCAGTAAAGTTAATCAAAGAACAAAAAGAACAGAGAAAATTACTCACTGGTCTTGACTAAATAACTTTTTTAGCTTTAATAAGGATTAGTCTATATTTAATTTATAACGTATGCAGTGCAGACTGTTTGATAACTTTATTCAATTTCGGTATATATCCAAGGCCTACCTGTTAGACACTAAGGGCACTGGTAAATATGACATTTATTTTTTACTAGTGTATTATTGAGACAAATTATTGCAGTAATGCAAAGATGCCAATATTTAATTTTGTAAAAAATATTATTTTACTTTGAAAACAGTGCATTTAGTTGTTGTTTCTTGTTTGAGTTGATACACATTTCAGCATTATCACTAATCTGTGTGCGCATTTTACTTGAGAACCAAGCAAGTTGACTCATGAAAACATTTGTTTATTATATCACAATCGCATATCGGAATTGCAATCGCAATATTGACCTCAATAACCGCAACATGTAATTTTCCCCAAATCGTGCAGCTCTACTTTTCAGGAAAAAAAAAAATGTGTATCATTGTCTTGTGTCTTGTGAACTAGTCATTCAGCTTTTGACCAATTGTGATTTGGCATGTCAAATCCCACACCTGGTGGGCCTTAGTATAAGTGTGTGTGTGTGTGTGTGTGTGTGTGTGTGTGTGTGTGTGTGTGTGTGTGTGTGTGTGTGTGTGTGTGTGTGTGTGTGTGTGTGTGTGTGTGTGTGTGTGCATGCATGCGTGTGTGTGTGTGTGTGTTCCTGTGGAAGGGAGGCCTGGTGAGGCCAACTACCTGATAACCAGAGAGACCAAAAAACTGGTTGCTATGAACCCCGATTCCGGGTGTCTGCCCAGTCCTGGGGCTTAGACTCCGTCTGAAAGTTAAAAATTAAAAAAAAAAAAAAAAAAAGCAAAAAATTATCCTTTAATTTCCTCATATTTGGAACGCATTGCTGCACAGAGCAGACCTGGACTAGGCAGCTCACGCGCCTATTGGCTGCTCTGCGGCACATGCTGCAACCTATCGGTGGACTGATAATGACGTCATCACCAATGAGGGCGCGGGCGCCCTTGCGCGTCATGTCCCCCCAGAATAGGCGTGGCTTACCTCTATATAAGCCGAGTCCAGATAGGGTGTACTTTGGTTTTTCATACTGAAGCGAAACCAGAACGCAGCACTAACACGGCCGGGTTACGCAACACTCGTTCCCTCTAGAACCGAGGTTACGTTAGTAACCGAGTGTCTTTTCTCTTACGAGAGTACTGTCGTGTTGCGTAAGCTAGCTTACGCTATGGGAACCCAGTTTAAAGCGCCGTGTATGCTGAGGTCATTCACAAAAAGCCCCAAGGGCAGGTGCCCAGGGAACACATAATAGTGAAGATATCTGGGCCGACACAGAGTGAGCCCGAGAATATATAATGACCATATAGGGAGTGTGTCACATCATATGTATAATTGAGTGCTTAACACAGTATAACAGTCAGCATGGACGAAATCAGACTGAGCTGTATAAGCAGAACTAAGTCAGTTCGCTAGATAAAAATGGTCTCAGACAGAGAACAATTTGGCCTGCAAAGCAGGAACCTCCAGGTTATAAAACCTTATAAATGTATACGGAGAGGCCCAGCCTGCCGCTCTACAAATATCATGGAGTGAAACACCACTAGTCCAAGACCACGACGAGGCCATAATTCTAGTGGAATGGTCTCGAACACCTAAAGGCCATTGAAGGCCTTTAGACTTGTAAGCCAAAGCGATAGCATCAACTATCCATCTGGAAATGCTCTGTTTCGAGGTAGCTAGCCCTTTAGTGCGGCCACCAAATGAAACAAAAAGCTGTTCTGACTGCCTGAAGGCAGCGATTCGTTGAACGTAAATCATTAAAGCCCTGACCGGACAAAGGAGGTTTACATCATTCTCACTGTCAGTTCCCGGAAGGGCTGACAGGGAAGTGACTTGCGCTCTGAACGCAGTGGAGAGCACTTTGGGGACATAACCGTGTCTTGGTTTGAGCATAACTTTAGAGTCATTAGGCCCAAATTCCATGCACGACGCGCTCACGGAGAGCGTGTGTAAGTCACCCATTCGCTTCACTGAAGCGAGAGCCAAGAGAAAAATGGTTTTGAACGAGAGACAACGTAAGTCCACCGACTGAAGTGGCTCGAAAGGGTCACTCTTCATAGCCTCTAGGACCATGGAAAGGTCCCAGGCCGGAACCATGAGGGGTCGAAGAGGGTTCAGTCTTATCGCTCCTCTAAGGAAACGAATGACAAGATCGTATCTCCCCAGTGACTGGCCATGCAGAGGTTCTGAGAATGCTGCTATGGCTGCAACATACACTTTGAGCGTGGAGGGGGACCTGCCCTCATCCAAAAGCTCTTGAAGGAAAGAAAGAACTTCCGTAACGCTACAGCGTTGTGGGTCTAGGTTTTGTGCCGAACACCAGCCAGAAAACACTGACCATTTAGAAGCATAGAGTCGTCTAGTAGAGGGCGCTCTTGCTTGTGCAATTGTACTCAGCACTCCAGCCGGGAGGTCAGCGGGTATCCGTTGACCGTCCACATATGCAGTGCCCATAAGTCGGGGCGCGGGTGCCAAATCGTGCCCCTGGCCTGAGAGAGGAGATCCTTTCTCAAAGGAATCGGCCACGGACCTGTGCTCGTGAGCTCCATCAGTTCTGAGAACCAAACGTGGTTTCTCCAGAACGGCGCCACGAGAAACACAGAGCACTTGCACTCCCTCACTCGCTTGATCACCAGTGGTAATAGTGTGATCGGGGGAAACGCATACAGCGGGCAGCTGGGCCAGTCGCGGGCCAGCTGAAAGTGGTGAGTCGAGCCCGCAGGTTCGACACAGCCATACAATCACATTCCTGGCAGCCGCCCACGGAAAGCGCGTGGTCCGCG